TGTGACTTGGTGTATTTTAATAATGTAAAAATTTTTATGACCAAAACAAGACATATTTGCTCACAAAGTGTTTATTGAGATGTCAGATTAATGTTAAAACAAAACATACTACAAGAACAGAGCTTTAAAAACTGACGTCTATAGCCACATCTCCATGTATTCAAACCCATTATCCCTGCATGCTAGTCTGGAACTCTCAAACTTCACTAAATCATTTAAGCCTCAACTGTCCAACATGAGGTAAAATTCCTCAATTTGCTCAACTATTTCTTTGCTGAAGCTGTTCCAGAACAATATATAAAAATGATTACTATGTGTCTGTAGAGATAGGTTTGGAAACTTTTAGAAGCTTTGACACATTTACTTTGGCTGTTTCAGTGTTTCATGAAGCCTTGCTTTGCTCACCACAAACAAAAGCATAGTCAGAGTACAGGCGAATGACCGGGACAAGCGGCAAACAACATAAAACAATAAACAAAGCAAAGGTCAAAAACACGAAAGGCAAGAACAAGGAACAAGGCTTTATTTTGCTTACAAGATTGAGCAAAGATGTGTTTGTAAGTGAGGTGTGTTATATAGTCCTACTAATCAGTCATCACAAGCTTCATTTGTGTTTATAATCAGTGGTGATCTGGAACTGGTGTGTGTGTGTGTGTGTGTGTGTGTGTGTGTGTGTGTGTGTGTGTGTGTGTGTGTGTGTGTGTGTGTGTGTGTGTGTGTGCTTAACTGTTTCTTTGCTGACGCTGTTTCAAAACAATACATAAAAATTATCACTTGGTGTCACTGCAGAGAACTTCGACTCATTTGCTTCGGCTGTTTCAGTGTTTCATGAAGCCTCGCTTTGCCCACAACTACCAAAAGTTGGAACTGGTGTGTGTGTGTGTGTGTGTGTGTGTGTGTGTGTGTGTGTGTGTGCGTGTGTGTGTGTGTGTGTGTGTGTGTGTGTGTGTGTGTGTGTGCATGGTGGAATATGTAGTCTGGTTCAGTGGCAGATGTGATGTGTAGAGTGCTCCCTAGCATGTCTGATGGGCACTTAACATAGTGACTGTGACAAGATGCACTTATAAGTACTAATAAACATCCAATATCTTAATAAAAGTCAATAGTTTAGTGAGAATTGGTGGTTAAAGAGAAACAGAAAAATTATGTTGTTGTTTACTCACCATTTTTTTGTCACCTGTTTCAGTTTCTTTATTCTGTTTGAACAAAAAAAAGAAGATATTTTGAAAAATGCTGAAAAACTGTAACCATTGCCCTCCACGTTATTCGTTTTCCTACTATGGAAGTCAATGGTTACATGTTTCTGACATTTTTCAAAATACCTTCTATTGTGTTGAACAGAAGAAAGAAGGTCATAAAGGTTGGGAACCACTTGAGGGGGAGTAAATGGTGGGTAATTGTTTAATTTTGGGGTAATTTCTGCAAAATTGTTGCAAACAATTTATATGTGTTGAATTTAAACAAACAAATTAAACTTAGTAAAGCTTAATTTAATTTGTTTGTTTAAATTCAGCCCAAATAATATGTTTACAACCTCTTAACATAAAAAAATGTAGTAAATCCAATGGATCCACTTTAAATATTTTTTTTTCAGTGTACAGTATTCATTTAAACAAAAGTGTTATGCATGAGGGTTTGGGGAACCTGTCAGTAAACAACCATTAGTTAAGCATCTTATTTTATTTATTTATTAATTTTTGTTGGTTTGCTTGCAATGCGATTGTTGAAAATTTTAAAGCCTTTCATTATATGATCATAAGTGTGAAATAGTTCTGCCTATGGGCTTACAGCTGTCTGAGAGCAGAGCTGGCAGTACTCCCAGACCTCAGTCCTTTCGAGCGGTTATCATCCAGTAAACATCCAAACGACAAGAGGACAGGACTTGAATTTTATTTGCCCATGCAATGCGACTGTTTGGATGGAACCAACTGAATCTCTCACAATGTCAAACCAAACACCTTTTGTGTTGTTTGTTTCCTCCCATGTACAGGCTTTCTTGGAACTTACAAAGGGATATATAAATGAGTTATCACATAATGAACCCTGATAAGAGATGCTAGCAAATATTTCGCGTCTCCCTGCTATATCAGATTAGTGTCACACTGATTTTCATTAGGCTCAATTCAAAATGACACAAATGTTGCCATGGTATTCGAAATGTAAGCTTCACCCGGTGCATGGAAATGTGCTCTTTCAAGGGTGCTGGCAAAGAGAGAGCACTCTACACCTTCATGTGCGATATCGTTCACAGCCAAAACACATAAACGAGAGTGCGTAAAATAACTGACAAGTGTGTGAGAGTGGCCTGCCCACATTACTCCTCTACCCTGCCATTAATATCATCTTCATGCAATTCATGAATTATATCGCTGGAGGTTTAGCATATTTTTAACACGTCCTCACACAAATCTGATGCTGGCATCACTGGGTAAATGAGGGATTTGGAGCTACTGTCTAATTGCTAGACAGAGCAAGTGTTGCATGGTAATGTTGCCATCTAGTGAGAGAATGGTATAAAAAAGTGCAAGGAAAAGGAGCTGATGCTCAAAGACAAGACCGCTTCTTTCCCTTCTGAAGTCTACTTTTCACTTTGTATTTTACTTTCAGTCAATAACTTTACTTTCTTGTCTTTTCTAGCTACTGAAAGAGGAAATACTTCTGTGTGACCTTCAGTCTTACTTTTCTAGCTGCTATTTTATCATTGAATAAAGCTCAACACTTTGCATAGGGCTATCAAGGCCATATGACATGCTTGAGCTCTTAGCTAGACAATACTACCCTTGAAAAAGCTAAAAAGTGAAATAAAAAAAGCAGTGTGCTCAAATGATCACTGGCTTTTGACGATATGAATGACTTAAATGGGATCAATTATGCAAAAATCACTTTTATAAGAGATTTAAATACAGTTTTGTGGCAATTTTGTGTGAATATATCCAGCTTCTAATGGTAAAAATGAACTAATTCAGTTTTTTATAATCACACTTTAAAAAAACTGTCCGCAGAATAAAAATTGATTGATATTCTCCCTTTGTACATGTCATCAGAAGCTGAAAACTTCGCCCATTATAGTCTTGAAGTTACATAAAGATTCCCACTGCACCAGTCTTCATTCATTCATTCATTAATTCATTCATTTTCCTTCGGCTTAGTCTCTATTTCAGTGGTCGTCACAGCAGAATTATAACTAATATTCCAGCATATGTTTTTAAAGCAGCGGCAACTCAGTATTGGGAAACACCCATACACACTCATACACTATGGACAATTTAGTTTATTCAAATCACCAAAAGCAATTTGGACTGTGGGGGAAACCAGATCATCGGAAGGAAACCCACGTGAACACGGACAGATCATGTATTTAATTGTCATGAAATAATTAAAACTAATTTTCATAATTTTTGTATGTTTACGCATGAAACATCTATTTTGTGCGTTATTTTTAATCTTAGCAATAAAAAAAAAATCATGCTTTGGCTGTCCCTATACATTCTGATCAACTTTGTGACATTGGTTGTAAAAAGATATAAGAATCTATTTATCAGTGATAGATAAAGCAAGTGATTTGCTCCAAGTGATGTCACGTCCTCTGGCAGGAAACTCTATAAGGCATTGAGGAATGTCATATATTTATCTCTCATTAATTTGTACAATATGTTCAGGATACACCAGTAGTTGAGTCCCTTAGCCCACCGTATGCTGGTTAATGATTTGTCGACTCTTTTAGTCATGTCGTGTGTATTTATATACTGTAGCTCATTTATTGTGTATTTCCATACACCCAAAGCGCTTCACAATCATGATCTGAATCACACTGAACTGAGCTAAACTGAACTGAACTGAACTTAAACACTAATACCTGAACCACACTGTTCCAGTTACTATGACCATTTATGTGAAGCTGCTTTGACACAATCTACATTGTAAAAGCGCTATACAAATAAAGCTGAATTGAATTGAATTGAATGATGAGGGGGCAGGGGGGTACTCTCCACATCACCACCAGTGTGCATCATCCAAGTAACCGCAGCCACAGGACAGTGGTGCCAGTGCACTCACCACACACCAGCAGTTGGGGGAATGAAGAGACAATGATAGAGTCAATTCGGTGGATGGCGAAGACCTCTGTCTAATGCCCCCCCCCCCCCCCCCCCCCTTTCCTGAACCCAACCAATATTGTTTTCAAAAGCACTGATTGACCCGCCCACCCACTTCCCTAAACCCAACCTACCGTTTTAAAAAGCAATCTAGATAAAGAAAAGCCCTCGCCTGATTTTTACCATGTATTCAGATTTCACCAGTCTCACCCTGTTATTTACTTGTTTATTTAACTTTTTGGCTTCTGTTTCTGGAATTATATATATATATACACTACACACACACGGCTTTCTGACCTACCGAGTGCATCTGAGTCACCGAGAAATGCAGAGCTTTTTTTTCTCTTATACGACGTACGGTATCAAACATTCCACCGTCATTAAACACACTGTCTTTCTCCCCTGCGCCTGTGTTAGTTTTTCCTCTGTGAAAATCAACGCATGCCCAAATGGGAACTCACATTTTTATTCAAATCCTTTCCCTTTTTCCTCCCACTACACTCCCACCCAAACAGAGTTAGACACACCTACTTTCCTGACATTTTCCAAACTAGAGATGTGAAAACCCCCAGCTAAAACGGGGGTTTTTATGGCCCTTTAAAGTAAAAGAAAAAGGACGAGCTTTGCAGATTAAACTTAACAGAAAGTTCTTCAAAGGTACAGAGGCCCTTTTCACCCATAAGATCACTCAATGAGTAAATGCCTGTCATTCCATTGTCGACACTGGCCAAAATTAACTGGATGTTTATCAATAAATATCGTTAAAAAATTTCTGTGAAACAAAAAATTCACCATACAGTGAGCATACGGTGGCCATCCAGCATTAGTCTGAAGTTTAGCTGCCTGTGAATGTGTTATCCAAGGTCAGCTAGCAGTCAACAGACTAGAGCTATCAGCTGGATGGTCATGACACACAGCTTCACCCTAACTGGTAAGAGGCAGCCTGGAAGACAGGGCGTGAAAATGGATGTGTCATCGCCTTCGATTATGGAGACTTAGAGGTGTGTGCGGGGTGTAACCCAATCTATGTATGGGTCTTCAATTCACAAATGATGAATGACTCTCTTGAGTGAAGGACATGTCTATAGGTTAAGTGTGTGTGTTACAGGTGGCCTTGCTCGAGCTACTAGTTTGAATGTACATACTGTAAGTAGACTGATGTAAAAGTCCATCTATTAGCCCAATGATGAAACTAACAGCATGATCGAAAGTTAAATGTGTGTAAGCCTTTTTTAGCGCTTCTGAAAAGAATTCTGTTATTTAATCAAATTTATTTATAGTTGTTTTCAGCTCTGAATTTAATCTGACTTTAATTTTAAGTGACTGTCAAATTTAGACTGTATTTCTAATTGTACGAATGGATCACATTCTTCGTTTATGAGTTTTTGATTTCCTCATCCTAAAAGAGTAGTGACTTTAGTCATTTCCATACAACTTGCTAATATCAGTGATTAGATTATTAACAGATCTTCATGCTGTCGTGCCACACTTCTGTACTGTCAAATGCACCTTAAAAATCGACATAATCATGTCACAAACATAATGGAGGAGCAGACTCCTCTTAATCTACTGGATATAAAAGATTTCAGGAGAATTCAAAATGATTCAAAACTTAACATTTCATTTTTCCAGATGAAAGTGTATCATGCCAATTACAGAATCAAAGAATAAAAAGCCAATTAAAAAAATTACAACAACAGATATAAGGGAAATTGTGAAATATTACTATGACATTTATACCACTTTACCAAGGTAAAGTCTATATCGGATACACGGCTGGCCGGAAGTCAAATATGCATACAATATGGCAGCATTTTTTTTCGACACTGTATAACAATAATTAATATTTTTTCTTTACTGTGACGGTTGGGTTTAGGGTTGGGGTGGGTAAGGTATTAAAAAAAAATACAATTTATTGGTTAATTTGGTACAATTATTGTTTTTACATTACTGTGATGGTTGGGTTTAGGGTTAGGGAGGGGGTAGACGTTATTAAAATACAATAAATGGGAAATTTAATAAATAATCTAAATAATTCTCATTAACTTCTGGCCTCAACCATTTCCTATATAGCAACAACCCTTTACCAATCACACAGAGACATTTAAAATGATACCAAAGATGACGGTCATATATGCAGCATGACGCGTCAACATTTCTGTCTGTTAAGTTGTTAATATCAAATGAAAATAGGCCTTAGCCATCCTTACACTGACTTCAGCTTCAGCTTAGTCTTAAATTACAACTTAGTCTGTGTTTCCATCCAAATTGCGAAATAAACCTAAATTAAAAAAGCTAATAGTGGGATTCACATAATTTTTTTTTTATGTTGTTCCAACACAAATCAATTAAGTTAACTTTTTACAAATTGAAGTGGATTAAAAATAAAACTATTAAGTTGCCTATTAAGTCCCCCTCCCCCACCACACACACACACACAAACTCAATAGTTGATTCAGCTTATTTTAAATTAGTTTGAACAATTATTTTTGAGTGTATGAGCAAATCTGAAATACTGCAAAAAACTTTTGGAATTAATGAATTCCAACATTAAAACATGAACTGTTACAACAAAATCACATGCCTTCTTTGATGTGTGTGCTGGAATTTATTCTGTAAAATGTTTATTCTTCTCATTTGTGTGCATAAGTTTTTAGGCACATTTTGGCAAGCCTAACCCTAACCCATTAATCATTTTTTATGCAATATAATTGAATAAATAGGTAGATGTAAACATGACTGATGCCTATTTACAAACAAGTTTCTCTCTAATATCTTTTGTCCTTTTCACCGTCCTTTGAATGAAATGGTCTAAAATGGACTAAAATCCAAGAGCTGCATTCACTTTGTTCTTTAAAAATGAGTAATGAGTCAGAAAACTCGCTAAATGGAGCAGAAATGTATGCCTCCTTTAGGGCTGAAATCACACAACTTCAGATAAGTTTTCACCTAATCAAAAATTTGACAGTTTCAGTCTTATTAGATTTGTCATTAATAATGCAGAGAGATGATCAACATTGTAGGCCAATACCACGGCTGTCATTTGAAGACTTGGCTAGAGGTATGCCTCTTCCAATGGGCTATCCATCCATCCATCCATCCGTCTGTCTGTCTGTTTCTGTCTGCCTCTATTGGTCTGTCTGTCTGTCTTCATTTCTGTCTATACATCTGTCTATCTGTCTGTCCGTTCGTCTGTCCGTCCGTTATCTATCTATCATGATATGCTCTTTGTTATAAACTGATCCATTTGATTTGAGTACTGTGACTTATGCTTGCAGAGAAATTCTGCTAAAAGAACAAGCACCGGTGTAAAATCCCAGAGGTCTGAGTAAATGTAATTCCTCCATTGGAATCCAACCTAAAATGATATACCCTTCTACACTTTTTACACAACAAAGACCTTGTGCTGGTGGGGTGACCAAATGTAATCTTCAAATGCAGGAGGGGTGGCCTGATTAGATTTAGTACCTGGCTTCAGACGCGCTGCAGACTCTCAGAAAACGATTTACAGATGGCCACAGGTTGAGGATGGACAATGAATATAAACCCAACCCTGTCCTGGGGAGAGACTGAACCAAATGAACATAAATCTGAGAGCCGGCTTAAACCGCAGACTGAGGTTGTAAGATAAGACGCCATCAACCCACTGAGACAAGAATATTGAACTGGATTCTTAATACCGGTCTGACCTTAGCAAAACACAGACAGAATTTTTTTTTTTTTTACAACAGCTAAATATACTTTGAGTCATTGCTATCATTTGTGTTGGTTCTATTTCCAATGACATATATTTGCTTGAATTTCACAGGAAGGTAGATTTTGGTAATACGATTTTCTTTTGTAGCCTGAAGCACGCCAATGGTTTTTTAAATATTCCAAATTATTTTGTGGTTAGTCAATGGTCTAGTTCACATTTTTGTTTATTCACAATAGCCTGTCTTTGTACTTTAATATGGGGTCTTTAATATAAAGTTGTTCATATTTGGGAACCCTTGGCATCTAACTGTTTAAAATCCTCTGGTTAAGGTTATACACGATCACCCCAGATCAAAGTATACACTGGAGGATTTTATCTTGCATATTCCAGCCAAAAGTTTCACATTTCTGAATACTTAAGAGAAGTGGGTCAACCATGCTAACCAACTTTTAACCCTTTCAGACCTGAAATGTGTTCAGGTTCAGGAAAACGTAGCATACATTTTCCCTGTTCTTCCTAAATGAATTTTCCAACAAATTTCAAAACATAGTAGTTTTAATAACTCATTTCTAATAACTGAATTATTTTATCTTTGCCATGATGACAGTAAATAATATTTCACTAGATTTTTTTTAAAACACTTCTACAGCTTAATGTGACATTTAAAGAGTTAACTGTTAAGTAGGTTATATAGACAGGTTAGGGTAATTAGGCAATTTACTGTATGACAATGGTTTGTTCTATAGACTATGAAAAAATATATAGCTTAAAAGGGCTAATTAATTTGACCTTAAAATGTTATATATATATATATATATATATATATATACATATATATATATATATTTTTTTTTTTGCTCCTCTTAACTTTTATTACAGTTGTTCCTCAGTCGCTTAGGTCCATTTCTCAGATCAGAATTGAAATACTCAAACTACCTGTTCAATCTTTAGATCATTGTCACTTGTGCACATAAAAAAGCCGTTTCTAATTCCTTTGAACAACTTGCAAATGCTTTTGTACATCCATGCAAGTGATTATGTGCAATTCTCTGCTCTTTCCTACATTATCAATTGCTTATGTCATGTCGATCAAAATTTTTTATTTTGGTCTGTTGAATAGTCTCATCGCCCACAACATTTAATTGTTTGTTCATGGCATAAGTCTTTACATGCAAAATGGCATAATATTTTGTCATAATAATTTTTCTATACATTTCCATTAGACTTTTTTTTCTAAATCTGTCTAAAATTAGTACATTTCTCACAGGTGAATCTTGACTTTTTCTAACAAAGGTGGATACAAATGAGTTATTGTCCTATTTTCACATTTCTTCTTCTGGTTCGTTTTTTCTTTTTTCAATGCAGTGCTGACTTTTCGTTTCTGTTTCACAATGACATCATTTGTCAAAAAAATTACAGTACAAACAGCCAAAAAAAAAAAAAAATGTAGCCTTAGTTTACATCAGACCAGCCCTCTAATACTGACAACATGACGAAGTAATTTGACTGTCTTATCCGTACACAATGACACAACAACTTGTCATTCTGATGGCAAATCTGGTAAATTTAATAATCACTACTTACTTTTTTTATTTGCCTTTTACAAACTGTGCCAACTTTTTCTGATTTGGGGTTGTATATATTTCCTCACAATCATAAACACTTTGGGCCCAATCATACACCCGGTGCAGTGTGGCGCAAGGCGTGACGCAGTAGTCTTTTGGTAGTTTCAGCTTGGCGCAAGAGTCGTTTTGAGGCGTTGCACTACGCTGTTTAAATAGCAAATGCATTAGCGCTCATTTGTGCGCCCATAGGCGTTCTGGTCTAAAAAGGAAGGCATTCTGAGGCGGACCGCTGGCACGTTGCTATTTTGAGAAACTATAATAGATTTTTCATTAGACCAAAACTAACCCGGTCTAAACTCCGCCGCAGAGTTGCGCCTCGCTTACGCACTGCTTAATACGCACAAGAGAGCAATAGGCAAATATCTTTACATATGAAAAAATGTAAATATTAAGGATATATATTAGGGATGGGAAGATTAATCGATATGTATCGATACGCGGTCATGCGCGTGCACGATGCGAGTGCATCGGTTGAGCAGCAGAGGATGAATGAAATTTTGGAAGCAAATCGAGATGCATCGTTTTTTCCAAGATACAGCTTATATTTTTAATATAGAATGTATTTTTTATTTATTAACAAGAGTTGTCAACCTGTTTTTGGCGCATAATTTAATCGACCTACATAAAGTAAGCCTTAGCAACGGATTTGCGGATGTGTACACTTACACTACAACTCAGTGTATCAGGTGTACGGATGAAGCTAGTGGTGTGCCCTCAGAAAGCGCGAGAAGCAAAACAAACATTTTATTCCTCACTGAGTTTTAAATTTAAAGTATGGCAACATTATGGATTTAAGGATGGACAACATGACAGGACAGATGCAATTTGCAAAATGTGCCGCACATCTGTAAAATACGCGGGCAGTACGACTAATCTGAAATCTCACTTGAAGCGGCGCCACGATGTTGTTGTGGAAGCATCTTCCAGTGTTCCTGCATCCCCGGCTTTCGCACTGCTTCAACTGTAGCTACCAGCTCCAAAAGTGGTGAGAAAAGCATTGCAAGTTTTTTTTTCCATGTGCAACAGTTTTGTGCGCTCTATGCCAATAACGGATGTTATTGCATTGTTCATCTGCAAAGATATTCAGCCTAGTGTCACGGAGAACGAAGGTTTTAAACCTCCTTCTGTTAATTTTTATTTAATTATAATAATAATAATAATATTAATTATAATAATGATAAAAATAATGGGTGTCACGGTGGCACAGTGGGTAGTTTGACCACCTCACAGCAAGAAGATTGCTGGTTTGTTATATTTTTATTAGCCTGTTGTTTACAGTGACAGTGATGTTTCAAAGCAGCATAACACTGCTAGTTCACGACCTTAAGTTTTGAATATTTAGTGGCAAAATATATCTTTGTAAAACTTGTTTTTATAGTTGAAAAGTTAAATCACAATTCTTGTTGTGCAATGCTAAACCTTTATGTTGAAAGAGTGCAAATATATATATATTAATATATATTGCACTTATACATTCTGTTTATCTTGAAAATACTTAAATAATATGTGCTATAGGTTCTAAAATGGCCCTCTACTGTAAACTGACACTCTGGCTCTGAGAGAAAAGCCAGTTTGTAAAAAAAGTCTTGGTTTTGCTTGGTTAATAAATAATCAAACTCATTCAATGGCACAGCATCCTCTTTCACATAATCTCATAAACTTGATCTAATTAGTTAGTGCTGAATTATCGCATTGTATCGTGATATGGGTATGAATCGTATCGTGTTGCATCGCAATATGTCACAAATGTATCGCTAGTATATCTGATCGTATTCTTTGTATCGAGATGCGTATCGGATCGGCATTATAGCTTAGATGCCCAACCCTAATATATATAGGATATAATAAGAATAGATAAAGGATATAAATATAAAGGATTAAAATATTACAAAACATATTATTTTCTAGCCTACATAAAAATGAAAAACCACTGCTTTTATGTCTTCTTTATCTCAGGAGGCTTTTTCAGTTCATTCATAACAATTTGCTTTTGTATAATGTTATTATTATTAGCAGTATTATTTATTATATGCATATTTATATTTGTTTTATTAAAAAAAGCTTAGATTTGCCCACCTGTCAGGTTTTAGACCATATGGGGCACAGCATGTGTTTTAGGATATAACTCAGGTTTTTGAACACATTTTGCTATTATTATTCATTTGCTGGAAATTAGAACTGAATTTAGAAATAGTTTTGAAACGAATATTTGCGCTTAACAAACAAAAGTATTTATTTATAGACTAATTGATGTCTGTGCGTAAAAGTTTCCCTATCCAAGAGCGAAAGTGAAAGTGATCCATAATCTCTCATTCTCACGCAGTAGATGCTCTGTTTAACAGTTTTCTGTTAAAAAACTGTTAACTGTTAGCTTGTGAAATGCTCATTTTTTCCACGTAGACTTACTTTGCGTCCTGTAAATAGCGAATGCACTCTTGGCGCGACACAGTTGACTCTTAAAGGGAATGGGAGATGAGACTCTAATTGGTTTATTCTTAAAACACACCTATAACTCATTAAGAAAATAAACTCAACTCTTTTAGACCATGCGCCGAAGCGCAAAGGCAGATTTCCCGTCCTTAAATTAGCAAAAACGCGTCCTGACACACCCTGAAAGCATTTGCGCCCTGCGTTTTGCGCATGGACCGTCAAAATAGAGCCCTTTAAGTATATAAAAACAAACAAGACTTTTTTGTAAATTACCAAATTGTACTCCTTAACCAGCACTGCATCTGTCATTTTAGTTCAGGATTACCTGTTAAACAAACCAATTTTATGTCTTTTCCATCCATTTCAAACAGAAAGGCTTTACAAAATTATAGGTTGCTCCCTCTACATCGAGTCCTCCAAGTATCTTTCTGTCAAAAGCCTTGTCATAAACAGAAGATATAGCTAATTTCCCCCTAAAAATGTAACCTGATATCAACCATATGCTGATTAATCCTAGATTCATACCATGACCTCAATAGAAAGTCACAGAAGCTCAGTCTCAAACTGTGTGTCCATTGTTGGAGTCGGCCAAGTTGTCGCAATATTCGCTTCCACACTTTGTCAGTCATTTTGTGAGGGCTTGCTGGTGAAAGGGATGAAGAGGCATAGCCACTGGCCACATCCTTTAGAATAGCACTCTTATGTTTACTTGAATGCATGTGCTTGTTTGTATCGTCACAAAATGCTTTGGCTCCTCTCTGATTTCAATCGTCTGCAAAGATCTAATCATTCCTCGCCTTAACACTCAGTAGGTACTTAGCGAAATGTTGGATATCTGACACGTCTTAATCCCTTTCAGATGAAGGCCAGCTCAGAGGAATACATGAGAGCCTTTTCAATAAAGGGACTGAATCAAGTCAGACCCTCAAGCTTAGTCCCTCAGGCAGGTGAAACCCCAGAGGGAGGACTGCTGGTTTTTGATAAGGAAATCCAATCTGTGCTGCAAAGAAGACGTTTAGCATGCGGAAAGAGTCTGAAAGAAGTGCCTGGTACTGTTTAGTTTTTCACTTAGCACCTGAAGAATCTGCAAACCTTTGCTATAACAATGTTAAGGAAAGATCAGGGCAGTAAATAAAAGAAGGCAGGGTGAAAGCTGAGCAATCTACCTGAAGACGTCACATGTTCCCGTGCTAAATATAAGAACGATGTTTAAGCAAACTTGTTAATGTCTCTCCATAAAACACCTAGGTCAAGTGAAACCTGATCAAGAGAGAGCTGTTGAAGACGAACAAAGGAAAAACATCATGAAACCATTGTTCAGTTTGATCCTGACAGACATACTGTCTATCTTGTTTTTACGTGACGTGTTTTGTGAATTTTTAGGAACCGTTTTTTTTCTCTTCATCAGCCTCTCTTCTGCCATTCTGTGGCCACATGCTGGATCTCTGTCTGTAGTCTCCATCCCAGATGAACCCCTGCCGACATTGGACTCTTCCCTGGCATCCACACCGGACCCACTGCATGTTTCTTTGGCTTTTGGAGTATCGGTGGCCCGGGCTGGTGTCTGCCTGGGTGAGGTGCATCTCAACCCAGTAATTACCCTGGCATTGGTTGCAGGCTTGAGGGTGAGCCCTTGGAGGGGAGTCCTGTTGGTTGGAGCCCAGCTGCTTGCTGCTCTCAGTGCCTGTGCTATCCTTTTAGTCATTGCACCAACTACCCAAAGTAGCAACCATGGGGATTAATGAGGTGAGATGTTTGTGATCCTAGAGTTTATCCATGACTTGGATATCTATGCTCTGGTTTTACTAATATACAGTTAAATTCATAATGATTGTAAATTGTTTTCTTTTTCAAATATTTCCCAAATGATGTTTAACAGAGCAAAGATTTTTCACAGTATTTCCTACAATATTTTTTTCTGAAGAAAGTCTTTTTTGTTCTTGTTTTAGTTCAGCTGGAATAAAAACAGTTTTTAAAACCATTTTATGGTTATTAATATTAGCCCACTTAAGCCATTTTTTAAAACTGTTTATAGAACCATTGTTAGACAATGACTTACCCTAATTAAATGCCTAATTACCCTAACTTGCCTGATAAACCTAATTAACCTAGTTAAGCCTTCAACCCATTTGTGCCCAAATTTTTTTAACAAAAAGTTAAGTTTCATGCAAATTTTATTGTTAGTGTCCTATATGAACATGTTTTCCATTTATTTTCTCCAGGTTTTTGTATATATATAAATTTGACAAGAGTTTTCATACAATTTGGGTTTCAGTGACCAGATACTTTGTATGTGGACGAACAGCCAAACCATGTAGAAAAACAGCGATTAGGACAATGTCCATGTCTGTGTGGACAGCAGTGCTTTAGGTTGAGGTTGTTGCTTTTTAGCAGCAGGATTTCATTATTCTCTGAGTTATTTTAAATGTTTGTGGGTGAGGGACCAGTAGGAGAAGTTCATCTTACTCTGATGGTTTTGCTGTGTATCAAATTGCATGTAAAAAAGCCTCGACTTTTAGAGACTAAATTAAGGCAAGTTTATTTATATAGCACGTTTCATACACAGTGGCAATTCAAAGTGCTTTACATGAACAGAAATAAAAAAAAGACAAGTATAAAAAAAGCTATTAGTTAAAGGATTATTTTTAATTGGGGTATTATGAAAGCAAAAAAAAAAAAAAAAAAACATTAAACAAGGCCAATAACCTTGATGTATTAACACATTATTCCCTAATTTGCCATTTTTTATGTACTTACAAAGTACTGTATTTGCCCACTGGAAACTATAATTGCCGCTTGAACATTTAACAAAGTATAATCGCAAAACTTGTTTTGTTTGGATGAATCTAGAGATCTTCATGATTATGTTGACATATATTTGTAAATAAGAAGTATTTAAATTAACATGAAAAATGTCTTTATTTGGGAGGGTTTGCTTCAATTTTGCATCCTGGAATTAGAGGTAGGAAGTTAAAAGCAGGAAGTCAATTAATTCCTTTTATTCTTTCTTAAAATCTTTTGTTTGGTTGTTTGCTAGCATGTCATCAAAAAAAATTAAACATTGATAGCACATGTAGAAAATTACTTAGAAAATAAAAACGGCAACTGAACTTCGGCATCTAAAGTTGCCCATGGGCTTAAATGTCATTTTAAGCTAAATACTAGTATCTTGAAAAATATCTAGTAAAAAAATATGTACTGTCATCATGGCAAATATAAAATAAATCAGTTATTAGAACTGTTATGTTTAAAAATGTGTTGAAAAAATAACCCCCACCCCCACAACTTGGGGGTATACAGGAGGTCTAATCATTCAGGAGGCATCATAATGCTGACTTTATCTGTATGTGTTCTAGATACAATCTGTTTTTTGATCTTTGTTTCTCTTTCTATGTTTAAGCACATCACATTAGAGAAAAATTAAACATAGTTCTTTTAGCAAATAACAGTAGCTCCAAATGTGCATTAACTGTTTCCAAACAGTGAGATGAAGAGTACAAAACTTCCTGACAAACTGATACCAAATATCCCAAAAAAATTAAGTTTTTAGCAACTGACCAAGACACTAATCCCTCATGCGAGATGAAAATCATTTTGGTGGTGGACTTCAGCTCAGACATGTTTTAAAATGAATGAAACAACATTTCAGATGATGTATGATAATACTGGTGTTATCCAATCACTTTTGGGGCAAAGTAATTTTGTCTGTCAAGTATAGGCACTCAATCTAATCCATCAAGTAATTCATTTAAAAATTGTGTTTCCATTTTAGTTTACGCACATCTTCTCTTTCTTCTGGGTAGAGAAAAAAAATAAAAATAATATATATATATATGTTTATAACTATTATGCACATTTTACAATAGATATGCAATTCTAAAAAATTGCATTAAAATTGGTTGATGGAGGTAAAGCTAATGAAATGTAGTAGGCTATACGAAAAAAAAAACAAAGAGCTGGTATCTGGAGATAATAGTGCAAGTACACTGTAGAAAAATCAGTAAATTAGCAGTTTTCCATATTTTATGATTCTTTTTTTTTTCCTTCAATTTTTTATGCTTTTGAATTGCAGTATGCGACCTTGATCTTTCTTTCAACAACATTTAACTTTTAGAAGTTTGAAAAAGTGACTTTTATTTTAAAAAATCTAATCGTTTAAAGTTATATGTCTAGGTTAGTGTACTATGTTACGGTACGTAACATTATATTATTTCAAACTACAAAAATGTCAATTAAAAAGACACTTTGTTAAACTGTAGAGCTGAATTTTCAACATCAAAACTGGACAGAGCCGAGATAAAGCTCCCGTAATTCAATTTACAACCATAAATACAGGGGAAACACTAAATATTGAAACTGATAAATAACTGATAAGGATTTTTTTTACAGTGTACATAGGCAAAATATACTTTAAATGTAGCAAGAGTGAGATATGACAACACAATCTCACGGCAATTCATAACTTTTTGATTTAGTGGCTAATTCGTATGAATTCGTACGATCTAATTCGTACAATTTAGTACGACTTGCTGATCCCCCAATGACGGTTGGGTTTAGGGGTGGGGTTAGGTGCCACGCCTTCTTTTAAAAATCGTACAATTTCGTATGACTGAACTCTGTCTTACTTACGTTTTCTGGATATGACTGATTACCTATATATTTATCTACAGTTAATGATATTAAGTGAATATAATCTACTATTCTGCTGCTGGAAGGGCATCTGCTGCATAAAACATTTGCTGGATAAGTTGGCGGTTCATTCCGCTGTGGCAAACCCTGATAAATAAAAGGACTAAGCTGAAAAGAAAATGATATCAATGGTAGTCTACTATTCTAGCCATGGCCCTGAACATTCTCTTTGATAATGACTGTATGATGTTTGTGTTTTAGATTGTGTAATTTCTGTATCCTCTGATATGCATTCTTCAACTTCTAATTTCTGTGCTCTTCTGATCTGTTGTTTGGATCTTCAGATCTCTGTTTTCTGTGATATTGATCTCCTCATCTCTGTGTTCTGTTATCAGTATCCAGTGTAGCCAAATTTGTGAGGGTCAAAGCTCAATGTAGTTTAATGAATTGCGACTTGATTTGTTTTCTTGAGACCTGTGAAAATCTCATTTAAAAAGGCACCATTAAGATTTATCTAAAACATTCTTAGGTCTTTAGTTAATACGTTTACTCAATAAAACCCAAGGCTTCATTTCACCATTATTATGTTAACTCTGGGTAATTGCCAAGCTTTTAAGCCATTCTAATTTTTCCCACAATCTAATTTAATGATTTCTTGCGAGTCATTTTTAATTTCATTGTGACATGCAAAAGTAATTCTCTAATTAGCTAATTCAGATTCTAATTTTGATTAACAGCTGGTGGTTGTCATTTAACAAAATACCAAATGTAGTAAGTGTAGATAGCCTATATATACAGATATGCTGTACCTTTCCTGTTCAGCATGATAAAACATTAAAGTGCATCCGTAAAAGTGGAATGCTGCTTTTTCTTCTGTAATCCCCTTATGTTTCAAAAACCATGAGATGCGAAGACATTTTAATAGAAAGACTGAACAGTCGAACGGGTTGGGGAGAAAAAGTACATCTTTGAAAATCTGAAATGGGGAAAGAAGTCTAGCGAAGAAACAGCTCTGTAAATCACAGAGGACAAGGAAATGGTAGGAGAGTGTCAAAATAAGAGGCAGAAAGTTTGAGGGCAAAATGGGAAAATTGGGCCCTGGTGTGTTTATGTGTTTCACAAAAAGTTAAGCAAAAAATTAGGGGGGTTGGGTGGATGGATGGAGTGTCGGACGGACGGATGGATATGTAAATTATGGATGGATTGAAGGACAGATAGACAGACGGATGGATGAATGACATGGATGGATGGATGAATGACAAATGGATGAATGGATGGATGGATGGATGGATGGGTGTGTAACAGCCCGGTTGGAGAAATAAAGGATTAAACTCATGCACTGATGTTGCACTGTCCTCCTTTGTGCCTTTATTGTTGCGATTGCCGTCCTTAAAGACTGTTCAGCACCGTAAAAGCTAAGAACAGATGAATAAACACAAATAGAAAAGATGTAATGAATAAAAATTCACATAATAAGACAAAACAAACTTAGCAACAATATTATAAAGTTACTGCAAATATATGACTAGTTTTGTGATAAAATAGCTATTCTAATTATTAGCAAGCAAACAGATACATAAACATTCAGCAATGGGGTATATGCCGAAGCATGCTTATAGGACGTTTAATTTGCCATTAACCTGGGTTAAGCGCTTCCGGCGAATTGAATGCCAATGCAAAATCCGGTGCGTTTAAGGTCTGTTTTCTTTAAAAATCAGCGATCTCCACTTGCTAAGTGATATCCGATTTAAAGTGGGTCTCAGATTGTACAAGAAGCACTGCATTAAATTACATTTCCCCTGCCATATCTTTATTATATGAGCATTTATTTTACCCCAGTATATTCAATAGAGCTTCTGCGTTAGCCTGCCGATTGTGACTGGCGCGTGCAAGTAAACGGCTTTTTGTCTCGTTTTACGCTTGAGCAACTAAATAAATTCTAACGTTTATTTAACTGAATGTATTTTAATGACATTACAACATCGATGCTGTATAAGGAACTGTATAAAATGAGAAACTGTATGAGTCCACAATAACAGGTCACCGGAAGTGTATCAGCATGGGAACAGCACTAGCTCGGCATATACCCTATATGTGTATAAATGTCCTCATCTACCTTGTTCTCCCTTCCAACCAGGTGTTCAAACAATGAAGATGAACAGAACAAAAAACAAACTCAAATATGCATTAAATACTCTTTAATCAGTCCTTAAATTTAACTTTAGCTCCGTGAATTTCTCCGTGCAAGCGATAGCTCTCTCCCTCGTGCTAGGCGCGCTTCTCCGATCTCCGTGCTTCCGTGATCTGTGCGCGCTCGCGCACCTGACCACTTCCGGCAAGCCGCGCGTCAAAATAAGGGCCTCTATAGGCTAAATAACTTATAAAATAAATAACAAAAACACAACTATTTTTAAAGAAATAGAGAAGTAATTAAAAGCAGGATAAATAATTAACACTGAAACCTAACTTAAATAACTTGGGGTTATTTACAGGGTGGATGAAAGGAAGTATGGATAGAAGAATAGATGGTTGGATGGATGGAGTGACGGACGGACAGATGGATATGTGGATGATGGATGGATGGATGGATGGATGGATGGATTACAAATGGATGGATGAAAATGGATGGAAGGATGAAAGGAAGGATGAATAGATGGATGAATAGATGCAAGGAAGGAAGGAAGGAAGGAAGGAAAGAGGGATGGATGGATGGAGACTTGGGAGTCCTCTTAGTAACCTAACGTTTTACTTATTAGGAGCTATTTTTAGCACTAAAACTTTTAAAAACTCTTAGTATCATAGTGTAAAAAGCCATTAATTGACTTCTTAAAAAGAGTATCTTTGTTGCCTTATAATTATTAAGGAAACAAACTATGTGAATTATAAAAGTTATGTTAAGTCAGTGGGTATACTGAGTTCAAATAAAATCAACGTGTTCCTTTTAAAGCAACAGTTTTACTCACTTTTTAACCCTTTGTTGCACAAGCTATGTAAAACCACGTCTAATGCACAAAATGAGTCTTAAATGACACATACATTCTTATGCAATTTCGTGCTTTGCTGAAATTTTTTTGCTTTACCTTTTGAAATCAGTTTATCTCAGTATTAAACCTTCCCTTATATAAATATTCCCTAATATACCAACAACATTTATTTTTTATTCAAAATGTAAGATATAGATAAGGTTTTGTGATGGTCATTTGAGAAATTCCTTGAACATAAAGTGAAGAAATTAATTTATTGCAAAGATTCAGAAATTCAGAAGTTAGTCAGTCACTTTAGACCCATATATGCATCAAAAGGGTTAAAGTTAAGTAACTAGTCGCTTTTTACAGTGTATAAAAAATGTAGGAGTCCTAAAATTAGGACTGACATGTCCATTACTTTCACGATCGAGACTGATATTGGAGTGAATGAGGAAAGGAGATGGAGACAATCTAAGAGAATGATCGTGTCCAACAATAACAAATAAAACTGCTCTTGCCCTGCTTCAGGTGGCCCCGGGGGTGTATCTGTATCAGGCTCTGTTAGTGTAAACGGCTGTTACATTCCAGCTAGTGCTGTGTGTCCAGGCTGCCACTCATCCCAAATCCGCATTTTCCTCCAATCCTCCTGCTGTCACCGGCCTGTCGGACACCCTCGGTCATCTCATGGCGGTAAGGAAGGCAGAAGCGATACATTTCTGGAGAGCACAAATTATGTAGCCAGAGATACGTATGGCTGCATTTCATCTTTCAAATGAACGCTCTGGGGTAGTATGAAGCCGCCGAGGGCTTCTGTTTCTTTTCACGCTACCAGCTGACCGCTCACCTCTATGCGGGCAGCTTTTCTGCTGTTACCAGTTTGCCTAGTGGCTCGTCGCATACATTTGCGGACTTGAGACAAAAAGCGGAGTTGACTGCAACAACAGGGTTTGAGTGTATCAAAGAATGGTTCCAGGAAGCAGGTAAAACAAAAACAAAGGCAAAAAATTAAATAAACAAGTAAATAATAGGTGAGAACGTGGTAAGATCTGAAAACGTGGTAAAAATCAGGCAGCTTTTCTTTTTTTGGATTGCTTTTGAGAACACTAGCCAGGCATACTGGTCGACCCTCCCGTTTTCTCGGGACTTTCCCGTACATTACAACTCTATCCCACTATCATCCCGTAAAGGTATTTTCCAGAATTTCTCCCGTATTTCTCTTTCTTTGAAGGATGGCAATAAACATAAAAATCTGATCCTTCCCATACAGTTGAAGTCAGAATTATTAGCCCCTATGAATTATTAGCCCAGTTTATTTTTTTCCCCAATTTCTGTTTAACAGAGAGAAGATTTTTTCAACACATTTCTAATAATAATAGTTTTAATAACTCATTTTTTAACTCATTTTTTCAAGACACTTCTATACAGCTTAAAGTTACATTTAAAGGCTTAACTGGGTTAATTAGGTTAACTAGGCAGGTTAGGGTAATTAGGCAAGTTATTGCATATTGCATAAAAATAGCCTAAAGGGGCTAATAATTTTGACCTAAAAATGAAGTGTAAAAAATTAAATACTGCTTTTATTCTAGCCAAAATAAAATAAATAAAACTTTCTCCAGAAGAAAAAATATTATCAGACATACAGTGAAAATGTCCTTTCTCTGTTAAACATCATTTGGGAAATATTTTAAAAAGAAAAAAATTCAAAAGTGGGATAATAATTCTGACTTCAACTTCAACCCATACCACCGAACCACCAAGTGATGCCTCTTGCTCTTAAATGTAATTCTGTTCTGTGCTTTTATTTTATTTAGGCATGAAAATAGTTTGAAATAAATATAAAAACGGCAGGATTATCTTCCTTTTCATTACAGGTGCCATTGTCCACTTCTATGCAATCCTAAAAAAAAGTCAGTTCATGTAGCAGTGCGTGACTGTGTTTAAACACAACAAATTTTAAATTAATAATAGCTATTGTTTAAGCAGGCTAAACTGTTTGCTAATTTATTAGCAGTTTTTTTAAGTATACTGTTTATTCTATGCTTTGTAAATTATAATAAAAAAATATTTGGTCACACTTTATTTTGTTGGTCTGTTTGTTAAATTTAAGTTACATTGCGTGTAAATTCCAACTAATTGTCATTAGATTATAAGTAAACTGTTAGGTTGGGGTTAGGGTTGGGGTTAGTGTAAGTTGACATGTACTTGCAAAGTTTCTTATAATCAGTCTGTTGAAGGAGCTTTATCAACCGATATTAAGCAGAGAGTCAACTAATACTCAAATGAACCATCAAAATAAAGTGTTGCCAAACATTTTACTGTGCGTTTCAATTGATTATTTACAGTAAAACAGCCAGATGAACATATTAAACATTAATTTGAGGGAGGTGAGGTTCCTTAATTTGAGGAAGTAGGTTAGCCTGTCGGTCGGTTGATCAGTCAGTGTGTCATAATGAGCCTGGGTTGTTTGAAATTCATGTTCCTACAAAATCACTGATCACTGATTCAGAGTTGTTGGTAAACATGCGATAAACATGGTATGTTTTGCAGTTTTTAAATCACGATTGTTTCCAGTAAGCAGCTTGATGTCAAAAAGACATAAAAAATATAAAATGTTAATTGATTTGATGTCAATTGACTACCTTGATGACAAAAAAAAACATCAAATTTGACATATAACAAAACTGTCAAAAACAGGACAGTTCCATTATCAATTTGTGATGTGTTTTTTAACAAATCGTCACCTTAGAATTATAAGGTTCTTTCTGTCATTTTTGTCAAAATTGAGTTATTCACATATTCTTATTAAATGACAACTTATTTACATTATGTGATGTTTTTGATAAGTTGTTTACACTTTACGACTTTTTATTTAAAAAAACAAAAAAAACAGTTTCTCAACAAAGTCGAACTCTAGCTTGACTTTATAAGGTTCTATCTGTAAGCCAATCAGCATTTTTAATGCATGCACGAGAACCAACCAGGATCAGCTTTCTTTGTTATTTTGCCAGACTACCCCATTGACAGCGGAAAATACCAGAAAGACAAAATCACACAAAATCAGAGTCAACTAAATAATGCCGTACCACACAAAACTGAGAAGTGAGTAAATGTGATGATTTAGAAGCATTTTTTGATATTGAGATGAAATGTTCAATTTTACATTGTTAAAAAAGAAACGAAAACTAAAAAAATCTTTATTAATTGTGAAATTGTTTTATTTGTGTATATATGGTAAGTGAAACATTTTTCAGTGTTTATTAAACTCATTTGCTCATTGACTGTTTTTTTTTTAAGTCCTTGGGTTCTATTTTGACGATCCATGCACAAAGTGCAAAGCGCAGGCCGCAAGAACAATAAAGGCGTGTCAGAATCCACTTTTGCTATTTTAAGGAGGAAAAACTCGATTTGCGTTGTAGTGCATGGTCTAACAGGGTTGAGCTTAATCTCTTAATGAGTTTTGGGTGTGTTTTGAGAATAAACCAATCAGAGTCTCATCTTCCATTCCCTTTAAGAGTCAGTTGCATTGCGCCATATCGCATTTGCTATTTACATGACAGATTTTTAAGTGGAAAAACTGAACGTTTGACTAGAGAGAAAACAGTTAAACAGAGAATCTGCAGCACGATGATGAGAGATGAGCCTCCTCATTCTGAACTTTCACTTTCACTCTTGTGGATAGGGAATCTTGTTGTACGCACATACATCCATTAGCCTATAAATAAGTAATTTAGTTTGTTAAGTGCAAAGATTTGTTTCAAAACTATTTCTAACTTTAGTTCTAATTTCCAGCAAACTAATAAATTAACAATAATAACGAAGTGTGGTTAAAAAAACTGAGTTACATCTAATGCTTTGCCTCATATCTATAATCTGATAGGTGGGCAAATCTAAGCTTGTTTTTAATAAAATAAATATAAATAAGGATTAGGGGTGTCATGATTCTCCAAATTCTCGATTCGATTACATTTTCGATTCTTAAGATTTTCGATTATGAATAATTAATTAATTAATAACAAATTAATTATTTGTAGTCTACAGTTTAAACTACCTGACCTGTATGGTCTTTGTTTGACCCAAAAACAAATCATACAGTAAATGAATAAAGGCAAGTTACACACATAATTACCACCTGTCAATCACTTTTTTCTTGTGAATAGGCAGTGATCTCTGTCTTTATTATGGCGTCGGTAAAAAAAGGTGCACAACCAACAGGAACCAGCCAACAGTATCTGAGGTCGCTAAAATGACTAAGTACTAGTGTGAAAGTAAAAGATTGAAGCAGTCTTAACCAGGTTAATTAGGTTAACCAGGCAGGCTAGGGTAATTAGGCAAGTTATTGTATAACGATGGTTTGTTCTGGAGACAGTCTAAAAAACAATTAGCTTAAGGGGTTAATAAATTTGACCTTAAAATGGTTCATAAAAAATTAAGAACTGCTTTTATTCTAGCCAAAATAAAACAAATGAGACTTTGTTCAGAGGAAAAAATAATATCAGACATACTATCAACATTTCCTTGCTCTGTTAAACATCATTTAGGAAATATTTTAAAAAGAAAAAAACAACAAAGGGGGGCTAATAATTCTGACTTCCACTGTATATATATTTACAGTAATTTTTTAAATGTTTTTAAGAAAACTTATTCAGTTCATCAAGGCTACATTTATTAAATGTAAAAAATGTTAAATTGTGAAATATTTATCAAAGTTTTAAATAACTACTTTGTTACTGTATGTAGTTTCAAATAAAATTATTACTCCAGACATTATTGCTTTTATTACTATTACCATTAATAAATATAATAATAATTAATATTAATGATTTCTGAAGGATCATGTGACTGGAGTAATGAAGCTGAAATTTCATCTTTAAAATCACTGGAATAAATGAATAAATTAAATGATAAACTACTTTTGAACAGTTATTTTATAGTGCAACATTTCATCATTTGTATTTATGATGAAATAATTGCAGCCTTGGTGAGCAGAAGAAGCTTAGTTTAACATATTTAACAATCATACTGACCCCAAACTTTTGACCCGTTGTGTAAAGAATATTTTAGAAGCAAAAATGTGCACTTTAATTTTAACAACCCACAAACATCGTCACCGAATATAAAGCAGAGGTCAGACTTTCTCATATACAGAGCCTCATTTCAATTGTCAAGTTTTGTAAAAATCGATCTATTGAATTAATCAATCTATTAAAGAAACGTTGGCTAGAATTCTGCATTATAGGCTTAAATTATAGAGAGACATAGCAGAGGAACCGAGACTGCATCAGATCAATGTAAATCTTTCTTTCGAGCTGTCAGTGCGGAAATGAACAAAACAACAGGCTTAATACAACATATTATACGATTAAAATATGGAAAAATTAACAGATAGTAATTTCGGTCAATTTTCCTGACGGATAAACCGAGATCAGCCTTTACATGATATGACTGAAGTAGCCTGTCATTTAGCATGGTGAACATCTGCTGAACATTTGCTTAATTCTTATTTCATGTTTTTCTTTCTGAAACCCAAATGAACTGCTTGTTTGCCACAAATAAATAAGGAGCGATCTGGCATGAAGTTTGAATTTGGCACAAGACCTAGAGTTGTCCCGTGTATTTGTGTGCGTGTGTGTGTGTGCAGATCGGCTTCACCGGCTGTGGAATGAATCCTGCCAGGTCATTTGGTCCAGCTGTGCTAACTATGAACTTCCACAATCATTGGGTGAGTAAACAAACTTTGTGTGATGGAAATGAAAATGTCGAAGAATTTGAAGCTAAGAAAATGTTGATAAAATAATACTTGATAATGAATGATAATAGGGATGAAAGGGGGGTTTTAGGCCCCGTTTACACTAGTACGTTTTAGTTTTAAAACGGCGTTTTAGAATGAAAACGATCCGCGTCCACACTCGCGTTTTACCCAGCGTTTCTGAACTGCTCTCCGTCCACACCAAAACGCTGAAAACGCACATCACGTGACCACACAGACGCTCTCGGGCAAGCGCTGCAGCCCATGTACCCAGATGAGAGCTCTGCTAGTCGGACTTCTCATCAAGCATCTCCCGCTGGATCTAATCTCACTATATTTATTAAACGGGATATTTCATTCATCTTGTTGTCTTTATCTAACGACATATTCCCTGACTTTGGGCATTGGAATCTATTACTTGTTCTCAGGTAACGTGTTTTGGCTGAGCGCAAAGATAAGTTAATGATTAATGTAAGCACGTACATTCTGTATATTGACTTATCGCTTGCCTTTATTTCCTATAATGTATAAACTTATTGTATGTTATACTTTTAAAATGGCCATTATCGATTCTTAAAACTGATACTCAGCAAAAGAGAGGGGATGTTTCGTATTTTCACTGAAATTGAAAGGAGGCAGTGTTGTTATCGGCTCCGTTTTGTTATAAATATCCAGACAGTGAAGATGACGCTCATCTTATACAGCACGGCGCCTCAACATGTCTGCTGTCTAAGTTGCTAATATTAAAATGAAAATAGGCAGTTCCTTAAATCATGTTTACATTTTATTGTTGAGAAAGTGAAACAACGAAGCCAGGGTGATGTGAATGAAGTTATAAAGTACACTGTTCCCTTTGAAGATTTACCCGTGTCCTCGGTATAGTCTGCTTTTCCATATCAAACTGAGAAGAAGAGACTGCAGCCTTGATCAAACTTGCGAAGTCTGAACTTACACGGAGAAGATTCAGGACTGAACTGTGCGTGTTAGGCTACTTAATATTCAGGAAAAGCCCCAATCAGAGAGGCGAATGTCTGCAGCCCCGCCTCCGTTTTCAGATGTCTCCGTTTTCCATCATCCACACTGAGACGGAGCAGCAGCGTTTCAAAATGAAAACGGCCTCTCCAGCGTTTTCGAAACGCTCCGTTTTCGGCGCTCGAGAACTCCGGCGTAGTGTGGACGGTTGGCGTAACCGTAGCAAAACTTATGCGTTTTCAAACTAAAACGCATTAGTGTAAACGGGGCCTTAAGCATCAAAACAATAAAAATGTAGCACATTATTTTTATTTTCAGACATTATGTATTCTATTGGGTGGCACGGTGGCTAAGTGGGTAGCACTGTCACCTCACAGCAAGAAGTTCACTGGTTCAAATCTCAGCTGGTTCGGTTGGCATTTCTGTGTGGAGTTTGCATGTTCTCCCTGTGTTTGTGTGGGTTACCTCCAAGTGCTCCGGTTTCCCACACAGTTCAAAAGACATGTACTATAGGTGAATTTGGTAAGCTAAACTGTCCATAGTGCATGCATGTATGTCCTGGTCATTGGCATTGGACTAATGACCCACCTTGTAAAAAATTTGATGTTACGAAACACCAACATTGGCGTCGTTAAATATCAACTTTAATATAAATGGCCCTGGGAGTAAGAGTAAGTATGTATTCATATTGATTACAACTAAATAATGCCTGTCATTTAATATGATTTACAGACGACATCCACTAAAATGTCATTTAAAGTAGTACTAGTTTACATAGTGAACAATTTTGTCAGGTTTATTTAGAACACAAATAATTTTATGATACTAAAATATTTAGAATCATTTCAGTCACAAAATGATAATAAAAGGTAGCATTTTAAAATAATGGTCCATTAGTTAACAGTGTAGAGCAAAGTTACTTTAGAAACTCCTCAAAAAAGTAACTGCGTTAAGTTACTTTTGGGTTACTTTTGCATTGCTGAGGCTTGAAATCTATCAGAATCTGCAGGTTTTCCAAAAACCTTTTTAAATAGAGGAGCTCGCATTTAACAACGCACTCTATAAACTACACATTTACTCACAGTTTAAAGCAATGTGTATGCTACTTTTGTACTTTTTGTTTTAGTTCAAAATAATAAACACATTCTCTCATCAAGTGTGGGATTTAAAGTGACTACATTATTTTTAATTCACAAATATATATTTTTAAAAGCTATTCAATTAAACTTAAATGTAACTTGCATTACATTTTAAAAATGTAACTCGAATATTGTTACTTTTCACTTTTTTAAGTAATGCGTTACTTTACTCGTTACTTAGAAAAGTAATATTATTACGTAACTCGTGTTACTTGTTGTTATAACAATTAGTGATACAATTATTAAGGTATCTATTCATCTTTGTTAATGTTAGTTGTTATTTAAGTTCAATAATGCAGGGGTTCCCAAACTTTTCGGCCCGCGACCCCTAAAATAACAATGCCTATGACTCGTGACCCCCAAATTCCTCAGAGGTGGTTATAGATATACAAACGTTGCACACACACAATAGGCCTATATAAATGCAAGCAAATTGACAACACAAAAAATGTGCAAGTCTATCAACCATATCATTTTTATAATCATTTATTAATTTGTTAAATGTAATATTAAACTCAGCTAAAGAGACCAGAGATCATTCTCAATATTCAATTGTGGCCTGTGTTTATTTTTTTATGTATTAGATTGACATAAAGGTGTCAAAAAGTGGTGCTATAAAATTAATCTGCTGCAACTGATACTATTAATGTGTTGTTAATCTAAAGTAAACACACCAAAATAATTGAAAGGCTGATGGCTTTTCATTTGCATGTTGGTGTTTTTTACTATTAAAAGTTATAATTTTTCATCTTGTGTGGGTGATGGTTAAAATATAGCAATTCTAATAGTTTAATCAAATTATTGACTTTCAGAAATCACCAAGCAAACCCCCTGTCATTGTACCGCAACCTCTCAGGGGTCCCGATCCCCACTTTGGGAACCACTGAACTAATGGTTATTCTAAAGTGTGAATTATAAATTATAAACCTTTATTCTTTGAAACTACTATTCCTATTTGTCAATAAAAAAAATTATAATTTAAAACACAATATTATTTAGGCTACACACTAAAAACGTTAAGTTATTTATTTAACCCAATGATTGAGTTAAACATATTTGGTGCTTTGTTGGGTTATTTTTTAACCTTTATTATGTTATTTATTAATAACTCAACCAGTTGGGTTAAATATTGGGTGCTTTGTTGGGTTATTTATAACCTTTATTTAGTTATTTATATTATAACTCAACCAGTTGAGTTAAAATTTTAAATTTTAACAGTCTACTGATTTACCCGACACAGACCGGGCTGTATCAATATGCGTGTGTATTTTAGTTTTTGCGTTATAAAGTTTACGCTCTAGCGCAACAATATTGATGTTATTTTTTTTTATCAAAATACCTCTTTGTTTCGTCTTTTTTATATTCGTTTCACCAGCACTCTTAATTACTGATGATACAAACGTGCACTTCATAGCCGATCTATATTCAATGGACAAAATGCTTTCTCTACCTCCCGTGTTCATCTCTACAGTTTTATTTATTTATTTTATTTTATTATTTTTATTTTTTATTTTTTGGATGATACATATATTTGGGATATCTGGCCGTCATTCTAAACTTTAGGACACAGCAGAGACATGTATTTATTTACTCAGCCATAATTATAAATTAATAGTATTAGTAATACCAGAATGGAAAAAATAACATTTCATCAAAATAACCCAATGCCTTGGGATACATTATATAATCCAATGCATTAGGCTAAAATAACCCATAATTGGGAAGGTGCTATAATAACCTGTAGTTGTGTTTTATGTTGGGGTATTTTTAATCCAACTATTTTAACAGTATTGATTACTCTTATATTGTATATAATATAAAAAAGTATGCTGGGTGACTTTTACATACATTTTACAATTAATAACTTTGGAGTATTGTTTTATTTTTAATTTGACGTGTTGTTTTACACATTAATGTTGACTATAAAAAATAAACATTTTATGAAAATTGCTGGAACAAAAACAATCACAAAGGTGCATAATTTTGTCTCATTATTTTATGATTATGAAGGATTATTCCATGTTTTACCTGGCCCTGTGCAGGTGTATTGGGTTGGGCCTTGCTCTGGCTCTCTCCTAACCTGGTTTCTGCATGACCTGCTGCTTCGTCCTTGCTGGAGCTGCTTTGGCGACTGGGTGACCGAATACAAAGAGACGTTCCTGAAAGACCTTTCCAAGAAGCCCAGGAATCCTGAACCAAATATGGAAGCATAGTCATTCAAATAAACCTGACATCTCCATACAATATTGTTTAAGATATCACTGGCTTACTGTACAATTAGTTTTTAATCTGAAATTAACTAAAGTAAGTCTTGGTGAGGCCATCTATTGCTGACAGTGTTTGGAGGATTGCAGGTGTGCAATTCTAATCTAAGATCTGCTTGAAACCATGTATTCGAGACAGATCCAAACAGTACCTGATCCAGCATCTAATCTTTCGCTCCACTGGTCCAGCACATGGACTTGAAGCCAAACAGTTTGTGTGTGTGCTTGCATTTTTTCCATCTATGTATTCAGTTAAAATTACCTTTCTTTTTCATTAGTTTAGCTATTGTGTGCTGCTCTGAGCAAATGTTGTTCATTTTGCAGGCTGTTTTTGATACATATCCAATGTCAGAAGATAACTGTGGGCTTGTTGTTTTTAGCCAGAAGATACATAAAATGGAGCCTGAACAGGTAGTTTTGTGTTTCGATGACTTGGTAACACAGATGACATCAAGCATTAACTAAAGTTTAGTTGTGTTTACACTTGTAGTTAAGGTGCTGATTGACCCAAATATGAAAATAAGATTATTAATTAACTTCATGCTATTCAATCCAAACTCCTGAAACCTCCATTCATCTTCAGAACACTAATTAAGGTATTTTAAGTAAATCTGAGAGCTCCCTCGTCCTCCAAAAACAGCATTGGTCCCAATTTGTTAAAAGAACATCCAAAACAATTCCTCAGAATAGACTGTATGCCTACAGTGCCTATATCAGAATATAATTAAGCTGCAAAAATACTTTTGTGAGCACATTAATAAAAATAACGATGTTTTTCAAAGGTTTCTTCTCCTCTACTTATATACAACATCCAAAAATAAGGCTGTGTGCTGGTATAAATGTGCTTGTGCATTTGTGATGTTAGATTTATTAGCTTATAACCTGTGCAGAGCTTATAAATATGTAAAAGATTCAAAACAGAAATATGTCTGTTCATACAGTAACTTCATACAGTAAATAAAGATCTGCAAGGATACTTTTCCCCCTTTTTTGTATTGTACAACAATGACAAAAATGGTTATGAATTCTATGTTATGTATGCATTATGTTTGTTTGTTTGTTTGTGTGTTTGTTTGTTTGTGTGTTTGTTTGTTTGTTTGTTTGTTTGTTTGTTTGTTTGTTTGTTTGTTTGTTTGTTTGTTTGTTTGTTTAGATGTATTGGGTCTGTATTTTGTTTACATTTCAGTCTAACTAACACCACAAGACTTTGTTTGGAAGTGGACCGAAACCATTCTTTTCTTGGGGTCTTGGTCTGCATGTTTTCCAGTTCAAATGACCCACACTAACAAATGACCCACACTAACAGAGCAATCACATCAGAGTTTGTATTAAACGAACAAATCCTGCCATGTGTAAACACAGCCTAAGACAGGGGTCACGTCTCGTTCCTGGAGGTCAGATGCCCTGCAGGGTTTAGCTCCAACTTGCCACAACACACCTGCCTAGGCGTTTCAAGTATACCAAGTAAGACCTTGATTAGCTTGTTCAGGTATGTTTGATTAGGCTTGGAGCTCAAATCTGCAGGACACCAGACCTCCAGGAACAAGGTTGGTAATCCCTGGCCTAAGAGAATAATGCTTATCTATGAATGTTGAGGCTTAATGTTAATTCATAACATACACATTCAACTTGATTGGTGAAATAAAAGTGATACAATCCAATGAATAAAAAGGAGCAATGAAACATTACAAACCAAGAAAAGATGTTTATGCTTTGACAACCACTGGATAAAAGCACAAAAATAGTGACAGAAAATGTCACATCTTTACACAACCAAACAGACAGTACAATAACTGACCATATTTTTAGCTGCCTAGGGGTAGGACACCATAAAGAGCATAGAAAAGACTAAGCTTTGCTCAGTAGATAAAAAAAAAAACAACTACACATGGAACACATCTCTCAAAAATTTCTGATATATGGTAATACAGTATATGCAAATTTAATATATAACATACAAGTGCATGTTTGAATTGTGCATATATATAAAATTTATGTCATATATGCAACATGTAATTCTAAATTACAATACAAATATGTTCAAACATGTTAGTTGCAATTAAATGTATGTTTTAATTTATGCCAACATCTATTTGAACATTTGAATTAGGGAAAATATATATGTAAGGGGCTGTTTTTGCAATATTTCGAAATATATGTTGCATACAGGATATTTAATATGAATTTAAATATCATATATGTAATTGAAATACTTTGAATGGCATATACTTGCATATGGGATGTTATATATAGTATTTAAAGAGTATAAATTGCACTCAGACCAAATCTGCAATAAAAATGTAATGGTATGTTTTGTAATTAAAAAACTATATTTTTGGAAATGTGTAATCTCTTGGGGTGAGACTTCCTGAGTTTGACATAGTTCTGTCACTTCTCTACTACAGTATCTTCCTGAAAATGTTCCTTCATATCTTGTTAGTGTTGAGCATGCTTTTTTTGCTATATTTTTAATATTAGCATGTTCAGTTTCTCTACTATAATGTAGATGCATCAAAAGGTTTGTGTTGATGCTCCTATGTTGCTATCTATTGCCAAAAACAGCATATTTTTAACAGTATGCCCAAAAAAAACTTATTGAGCATTCTGGAAACCCATGAAATGTACCTCATCCTATCTGAAGGAAGCACACATCGGAAGTGTCAAATGTGTCATTTCAAATCTTGTAACCACAGACTAGTATAACAAGTGGTGTGGAGTTCTCCCAAAGAGACAGAACAGTTTTAACATCATCTTACCAGCAGGACAGCTTAAGGCGACTCTAACAAGCATCTTGGAGAAGATGGACAAGAAACTGGAATTCAGTCTGCTGTTTTTGTCCATACTCATTTTTACAAATCACATCAGGGGCTTTAACTTGGATCTAAACCAATACACGGTCTTCTCTGGCCCCGAGGACAGCTACTTTGGTTTCTCAGTGGACTTTTATCAGTCAAGCAGTAAGAGGTGAGTATTGCAGACCTGCACAGCGTACATTCTCCATATGAAGTAGCTAGCTGATGGTTTCAGAATGTGTTAAGCCCTTCATTCAAATATGCTGATCCTGAAAGCCATCACTGGTGTGGTACCTAAAGGGTCTCTATAGATCCCTCAAGGGTACATATTAGTACCTAAAAAGTACAGAAGTGTACCTCTTAAAATTTGTAGGTACAGATTTAAGCTTTTGAGTTACCAATTTGGACCCTTTAAATACAAATGTGTTTCTTTTGTAAAGGTACCACCCTAGTGATAGCTCTTGTACCTTTATTTCCGAGAATGTACAGTTATCAACAACAATTATTCATCCATTGTATTGTGCAGTTCTGCTTTAATGGAAAAACAGTACTACCGTTTTACATTTTAGTTTCAATTTTAAATCACTTAGTATTTAGTATAGAGTTAAAGTTCATTAAAAAAATTATTAAGTTTATGTACATTTTAAGTATATTTTACTTACCATTACCAAAAGTCTACAGAACAAACCATTGTTAAACAATAACTTGCCTAATAACCCTAACCTGCCTAGTTAACCTAATTAATTAAGCCTTTAAATGTCACTTTAAGCTGTATAGAAGTGTCTTGAAAAATATCTAGTCAAATATTATTTACTATCATCATGGCTTAGATAAAATAAATCAGCTATTAGGGATAAGTTATTAAAACGATTATGTTTAGAAATGTGTTGAAAAAAATCTGCTCTCCGTTAAACAGAAACTGGGAAAAAAAATAAACACGGGGGCTAATAATTTAGGGGGGCTATATATAGATATACACACACACATACATACATACACACTTGAAGTCAGAATTATTAGCCCCGCTTTGATTTTTTTTCTTTTTTAAATATTTTCCTAAAGATGTTTAAAAGAGCAAGGAAATGTTCATTTGTTCATGTGTAACATTATAGATGTATTTGCTGTCAATTTCGATCATGAAATTTTTATCAATTGTGTTTTTATCATGCCAAATAAAAATGTAGATTTATTTTTTGAAAAATGATTTAAGCTGTTTGAAGAAAATCTACTATTTCATTTATTCATTCATTTTCTTTTTGGCTTAGTCCCTTTATTAATCTGGGGTCGCCACAGTGAAATGAACCACCAACTTCTCTGTTTTATGCAGCGGATGCCCTTCCAGCTGCAACCCATCACTGGGAAACATCCATACACACTCGTTCACACACATACACTATGGATAATTTAGCCTATCCAATTCTTTGGAGTTGTGCTGGAAACCGGAGCACATGCAACGAACACGCAAACTCCACACAGAAACGCCAACTGACCCAGCCGAGGATCGAACCTTCTTGCTGTGAGGCGAACGTGCTACTCACTGTGCCACTGTGCAGCCCATCTACTATTTTTAAATTACTAAACTTTTTATCTATAATTAATTATACTGCATATACTATAAACTACACTATAACTAAAAATATATGGCTATTTTTCTCTGTTTTCCCCTTGCAGTGTAAGTGTGGTGGTTGGAGCTCCAAGAGCAAACACAAATCAGTCTGGGGTCTCTCATGGTGGCTCTGTCTTCATGTGTCCCTGGGCAACAAGAGGACAATCATGTCAGACCTTAAACTTTGACCAAAAAGGTGAGTAAACTCCTCCAGTATGTACTGTATATGGAATACATACCAAAATAGCCAGATTTTACTGCCAGAATAACTGTAGACAATTTTATACTGATTCATAAAAGCTGCCGATCTGTCTTTTTTTCTACATTCCAAATGTTAAAAAGTTTAATATACAGCACTGCAGCTCTTATTTTGTAATAATTCAACATTTGTAAACTGATGTTCAATGTTCGTTTTTTTGGAAACGTCAACCAAAAAATGTTTCTATCATCATTAACTAACCCCTAACATTTTCCAAACCAGTTTGAGTTTGTTGGTTTGAAGACATTTCAAATAATATTTCAAACAAGTAACTATTTATATCTATGCAAGG